CCAAGTTTGTTATTAGTTTGAGTTTTTGAAGATGAAGCACAAACTTTGGATTTTACCTTTGTCTGTCCCCATCAACACCACTCATTCTCCCTCAGTATGACCTGGACTTGTCCCTGCACTTACCCGCGTCCTGCTGAAGCATCTCCATGCACTGTCCAATTCTATCAGTGACTCACGCTCCTCCCAAGGCTCCCTGAAATGGACACAGGGATCAGGACGTCAGACACATTCCAGACACAAAGGCAACCCATACTGTAGAGCAGGCAGCTGTGTTTCCACTTCCCGAATGTTCCAGTGATGTCCTAAAACTGAAAGGAACATTTTCCCTTTTTAGGGGTCTGTTCTTCATGCCTCTGATCTAGTGAACATAACTGTCCTGAAATGGAAAGAGCTTGCTAAATTTCTGGTTTCTTGTTAGGTGGCTAGAATAGATTCATAAGACTTCCTTACTTACCCATGACTGCTGAAGTTGGAATTCCTAGCAGGATGATTCCTTTTCTTGGAAGGGGAGCAGCTTAGGCAAGATTGGCCATGTTGCTGTGCAAAAAGAGGTCAACTGAATTTCTACTCAAAGCATGCTTGAATTTGAAACTAGGGCTTCCACTCTTCCAAAGTTGGACGGTCACTGCCTCAGGCATGTGTCCCGAAGGGCTCGTGGCTCTGCTGTACTCAAAATAAAGTTTAAATGGAGCCCAGCAAACCAGATCTCCTTCTCCTTTACTTCTAGGTTCCCTCAATAGTTTCTCCTCTGCTTTAGAGACTGCATTGAAAATATTCTTGTTCTGCTGTTGTGTATTGGCTTCGGAATGATGTGATGCAGCTCAATGGGTCCTACCCCCAACTTCATCAAAGTAAGAAACAGCTGGGAAAGTCAGTGCAAATACAAGTTCAGTGTCCTCCTTGCAGGGATTCTGATTCAGAGGGCTCAGGTGGGGCCTGGAATGTGTTTGTTAACATGACTCGGATGTGCACTGAATTTGGGGACCCACTGATAGCACTGACCTTATAGTTGATGGGATGATTCTTTCTGTTTTGCTGATGAAGAAGCTGAGGCACAGAGAGTCTGTAACTTGTCCACGTTCCCCTTGCTGTAAGTCCTGGAGCCAGATCTCAGGTGGAGCAGCCTCTTCCCCACCCCCTTCTCACATTTTCCAATTCAGCCGGGTCAGTTCCTTCCAAGTGCGTGTTTCTCTCCCCCAATATCTCATTTCTGAAAAGAGGAAAACTTCTGGAATTTAAATTCTTTCATCTAATACATTTCCTCACAACATGCTGCCAGCATCACATTCTG